TTAAAAAAGAAACATGAGGGGGAAATTTCCCCAAAAGCCCCCAGGGGTCTTCCCCCCCTTTTTTTGAACCAAGCAACTTCCCATCCCCGGTCTCCCCCATCACCCCCCTTCCTTCATACAGTTTTGCAAAAAAGACCAAAAAATTCCTTATACAAAACCCAATTTTCAATATAGAAGTTTTTAGGGGAACCCCTCAATCCCCGGGACCTTTTTTTTTGGGTCGTGGGTCATTACCCCCTCCCCCCCCTCCTGTTCACTAATTTTTACCCCCCGCCTGCCCGCTCCCCCCCGGGCCCCAAAAAAACCCAAAATTTCCCCTTCCCCTTTTTTCCCCCCTTTCCCCCCCCCCCCACCCTCCCCTGCTTTAAAGGTTCCCCAAAAAAAAAAATCCAAGTAATCCCCCGCTTTTTAAATGCGGTCTTTTGGCGCATTCCCGGGTGCAAAAAACGTGTGCCCCCACCTCCCCCATCACCCCCGACTTTTCATTTTAAAAACCCGCCTTTCCCCAAAAAATCCCCAAAAACCCCAAACATACCCCGCCCCTCTCGGCTTTACATCTTTAAATTTTTTTAAAGAAAACAAAATTTTAATTTACCGCCCACGAAGAAACCCTGGTAAAACCCCCCAAAAAGAAAAAGCAAAAACCCCCCACACAAAACTTCCCTTTTCTTCCTGTTTTCTATATATAAATCCCAGGAAAAAACACCCTAACCTCCCCCCTGTCCCCCCCCCCACCCTCACCCACCCTTTTCCCCCCCCCCCCCTTCCCAACCGAGTTCTCGGAATGGCGGATTTCCCCCCCCGCCACTCCAATCCCCCCCTTTACTCTCCCCGAACCACCAGCAAAATCCAAAACCCTTTTTAAACCCCAAATCCCTAAACCCTACTTAAAATTATGGTTTTTTGAATGAAACACATTTCAAGTCCAAAGTCTCAAAACATCCTCCAACCATTCAGTTTAACACCCCCCCTAAGGCTGTTCCCCTTTAAGTTAGACACCCAAAAAATCAAAAAAAGGGGCTTTTCCCCTGTTTTGTGACCTTTCTTTTAAAACCCCCCCTTTTCCCTTGCTCCAGCCCTTCCCCCCTTGCACACCTTTCCCCCTGGGCCCCCTCCCCCCCTTTCATCCCTTCCCCCCGCCCTTTCTTGGTTCGCTCTCACACCCCCCATTTTTTTTACCCGAAAGCTTTTGGGGTGGCAAAATTTTTTCTTTAACCCACGAGCCCCTAGCCCCTTTCCCAGAACCCTCTACCTCCCTCCCATCACTTTCCCCCTCCCTATACACCTCAGCCTCCACCTGCTGCAGCTGCAGCATACCAGTCCCCGACCCTGGAGGCTCTGGTACCTGCCCACGAAATATCCTCCCTCACCAGATTTCCCTCCCACCTACAGAGGATATCTCCTCCACCGGCACTTCCAAAAAAGACTTTATCACTCCTGCAGGGTTAGATAAGTCCCATGGTTCCTCTGCCTCCTACACCCAACAGGCCCTGCTCAGGTCCAGGCCCGTCCTGTGTGGGCGCATCCTGAACTTCGGGTAGCATCACACAATGCTTCTCCACACCATCCCACTTCGTCCGCCCATGTGTCTTTACCTTCCGCATCCGCAGGAACAGACGGAGCTACCACCACAGACTCAGTTACCCCTGGCATTTCCATGCCCCCTGATCTCTGGGGTACTGCCCCTTACCACACCCGGCTGCATGTGGTCAAAAGCACCACACAAATGACATCTTTCGTTGTTTCCCGAATAAGTCACAAAAGCTGTTTTCCTAAAATTTTTCTAGGACAACTACGAGGGAAAGGGCCTCTCAATGTCATCTTTACAGTGTAAGAACCTGCAGGAAGCCCACATAGATGCCATCCGTCCACCATCCCAATGTCACCGCATGTACCTCACCATATTGTTGAAATGTTCCCAAATATCTACATTATCCGCTTCAAAAGGAACATTCCTAATCCTCACCCAGGTGAATACTTTGAGGCATCTATCAGGGCTGAACCTCCAGTCCAGTAGTCAAAGGTGATACACTTCCCTGAAACAGTGTCACTGACCTTCGTAAGCCGCCCCTGTGCAGAACTTGATGAAAATCCGTGATGATCCAAACAGAGCAATCCCATAGATCGTTGTCAATGCAGAATGTGTCCCTGACGATCGCAGGCAGTAAAACAGAGGCATTCGTTCGGGTAAATTGCTCCTCTGACTAAGTCAAACACAAAACACTGTTTTCTTCTCCTGGGGCAACTGGCCGCCATTTTTTGAGAAAACAGGAAACTGCGCAGAAGGGCATCTGCACAGGAGATCCTTTGGCCCGAGAGCGAAGAGGACAATGATGTGGGTTTTTTATTGTATGTTACTGTTTTTTTTTCTACTATTTCTTTCCCCAAGGAGGAGCCAGTCTTGGCCATACTTAACATAAAGGGCTAAGTAAGCCTTCACACATAAGAATTAGCAAATAGGTTTCTATACTGCAAACCGAATTGTTTGCCATCCTAATGGCACCAAATCTAACTTATGACACTGAGATTCACTCAGTCATCATTACTGATTCCATGTCATCACTGAAGGCTACTTGACAGTAGCCTTAAATTCCAGACTCAAATACAACAAATTTCCAAGAAAATCTCTAAAACAGTAGGCATATTATCAAAGGTACGGTGTTCCCCAGTCAGCTCTCCTTGTACTGTATCACTCATCTACCCTTATCTCACCTATGGAATGTGTGCATGGGGATAAACAACAAATAATCATCTAAGACCACCAATAACCCAGCAAAAGGCTGGAGTCAGAATAACAAATTCCCACTCCAGACAGAATACTCCACCAATATTCCAAGTCTAAAACTACTCACCGTAAAGAACATCCATACCTATTCTTGCGCCTACTGCATACTTATAACACTACACTCAAACATAAACCCTTCACTCAAACTTCTCTTCACCAGTCTTAATAGGACACAAGAGCATAACACAAAAGACGGATCACTTTTTGATGTGCCCCGTGTCCACATCACACTACATAAGAACTCTGCACATAAAGGGCCCCATAATTTGGAACTCATTACCAGTAAATAATAAAGTAACCCGGTCTGAACATCAATTTAAGGCCCTTCTCAAAAACCATTTACTCACCCTTAAAATAATATTCAATACTCAACACTTAAATTTGCCAAAAGTTCTTCCAATTACCTAAATCTTAACACTTCAAAATTTAAATACCCAAAGTTCATACATAACTTAATACTTACTACATTGTAGTATAAATACTTGCACAAAACTATACTGCCTTACACCATATTGTAGAATTCTCATACTGTAAACTACTTTCATCACCAAATCTCAATATATATTCCAATAATATAACTTAAATATTTACTGTTGATATACACAACCTACAAAATACTTTAAAATTGTCCCAATATAATATCCCCAGATTGTAACTTGAGTTAACTTACTGTCTGCTTTAAACAAAAACAGATGTACAACCTAAACAAACTATGATCAATTTCTCTAGTATTAAGTAATCTGCAAGCCATTAATTTAGTCTGTCCATAATGCCGTGGCATGATAGTGGCTCTTTGCACTGCAAATCATTATTGTAACTACAGAATCTCATTGTAAACTTGCAAGCAAATAAAAATTGTATTGTATTCTACTCATATAATGACTCCAACAACATGCTCATTGGAGAAGTCAGGTATAAATACTCAAAAATCCAGGAAAAAGGAATTAATGTAGAATTGCTATGGATCCCATCACACATTGGATTACTCCTTCATGATAAAGTTATGTTAGCCAGGAAAAGTACCCTGAAGGAGAATGTAGAATATAACTTTGGTATATCAGTGTCTAGCATTAGGAAAAATATTAGAGAAGAATATAATGAAACTGAATGTTATGAAATGCAATTAGAAGCCTAAGTAGATCTAAAACCCACTATGATAACATGAACATAGATAAGTATGTTTATGGAGCAGCTTGCAATGTAAACAGACTGACTGATGTTCTAGTGGTCAGGCTTAGGCTTGGTTACAAGTACTTCTGGCAGTTTGGGAGACACACACAGATGATGATCAAACCAACTGCAAAGTATGTGGCCAGCCTTGGTCACTGTCTTGATAACTATATGCTTAATTGTCCACTTAATGAGGAATATAGAGATAATGAGTGTAATGACCTATGTGACATGTTAGGATATCTTATTAATGAATATAAGATACCAGATATATTAAGTAAATTTCCTAAATTTGCTTGCAACAGATAAGTGAACTGTAAATATAAATCTATATATACTCCTGTTAATCTTTTTGGTGTCTAGTTCTTATCCGTCCTCAGGATAGATATGGGGTGCACAATAAACTAGCCACTTCGGTGGCAAAATCTAATCTTTTCCGAATAAGAATATAACGGGCGAAAATGTGATTCGCTAAAACTGTGAGCACAGTCTACAAGAGAGAAGCTTGACCAACTATACTTGACCAAGACGACACCTGGTTCTTCCGTACAGTGCCTCTCTCTTGTACTGTTACATCACATGAACCTCCAGCACTCCGGGTCCTCTCACGATGATTAAGGTCCTGCTATGTTCAATTCAGTGGTTCTAAAGTACTGTGTAAACTACTCATTACTATATCTAACAAATAATTTTTTTATATTATGATTATCTTATTATCAAACCTATCTTTATGTGATGTTTTTGTGGAAACTTACCTTTTGTGGGAGAAATAGGATCGACGCCACTTGAATTTATATAATTAATGATAAGGAAGTGGAGGGAATTCTGCTCTGAAAATGTTGTGCGATGATGACTTGACAAGATGTCAGTGTTCATGTCACATTTACATACATGTTAATCATTGCTTTTCGAGTGTCATTTCGAGTTCTGCACCACCGTTAAGTTAACAGCTTTCCTTGTAAATCGTTAATTTATTTTCCTTGCCTATAAAAAACATAGCATACATCGATACAGAGATATAACAGTGGAAGTAAATAACAAATAACGAGGTTTTCGGCACTTCATAAGATAAAGGCAGATTCCTTGTCTACTCTGATTAGCGCAGCATTAATAGCCACGGCATCACTTCCACAAGGGACGGCATCACCTTCACCAGCCAGGACATCACCACCAAGAGCCACGGTATCACTTCCACCATTGTAGTAAGTTTATTTATGTGTAGGTACACATAAATGCAGTTGTGCAAATTATAATACATGGTAACATATGTGTAAATGACCTAGGATAATCCACAATTATATTTCACTTTCATATGTCAACAGAAATGGGAAGTTTACCTTGAGATAATATTGTAAACGACAGGACATTGTGTCACTACAAATTAACTGTCAAGGTCACATCAGCGACTGAGATTCGCGTCAAAAGATATTTTCTCATATCTCTTGAAAAGCATAATACCACCACCAACTCCGATATTTCGGTAATAACACTGGTTAATAATTTTTGCTTCTTAAATAAGAGTGGTTAACTCTTATGTATTTGCATGTCTTTCAGTGGGCTGCAGAAAACAATATGAAGTTCAACGATGAGAAATTTCAATTACTCAGATATGGTAAACACGAGGAAATTAAATCTTCATCAGAGTGCAAAACAAATTCTGGCCACAAAATAGAGCGAAACACCAACGTCAAAGACCTGGGAGTGATCATGTCGGAGGATCTCACCTTCAAGGACCATAACATTGTATCGATCGCATCTGCTAGAAAAATGACAGGATGGATAATGAGAACCTTCAAAACGAGGGATGCCAAGCCCATGATGACACTCTTCAGGTCACTTGTTCTATCTAGGCTGGAATATTGCTGCACACTAACAGCACCTTTCAAGGCAGGTGAAGTTGCTGACCTAGAAAATGTACAGAGAACCTTCACGGCGCGCATAACAGAGATAAAACACCTCAATTACTGGGAGCGCTTGAGGTTTTCCTGAACCTGTATTCCCTGAACGCAGGCGGAGAGATACATATTTATACACCTGAAAATCCTAAGGACTAGTACCAACTTGCCACAGAATCACTCACTAACGAAAGCAAAAGACTTGGCAAGACATCAACATCCCCCCATGAAAAGCAGGGTGTCACTATCACGTTAAGAACCATAAAATAAGTGTCAGGGCCCGAGACTGTTTAACTGCCTCCCAACACATAAGGGGATTACCAACAACCCCTGGCATCCTTAAGCTGGCCTGACAAGCACCTAAAGTCGTTCTGTTCACGGCTTTTGCTTTACTTGGTTGCGTGCACCAGCAGCAACAGCCTGTTGATCAGCTCTATCCACCAGGAGCCTGGCACAGACCGGCCTCGGGGCGTTGACCCCCGGAACTCTCCCAGGAAACTCCAGGTAACTACTAAAACGTTTGTGAACAAAATGAACAGTGGTCCCTTTACAGTATTTGTTATGTTTTGAACTTCCTTTTGAAAAAAACGTTTTTTCTCGAGTACAAGTTTTCCCTTAGTATTTTGTTTTTATGTGTTTTAAGGTCCAGATATTTGGTTTAAAGACCTGCATAATATATATATAATATATAATATATATATATATATATTATATAATAATATATAAATATAATAAATATATATATATAATATGCATTATTTATCCCTCCCTTTACTGTTCAATCTAGTCTGAGATCACCAAAGTATGGGGGATATAAGCTATACTTTACCCTGAGTCCCAAATTATCCAATAAAAAATTCGAAATTATTGTGATTTTGTTTGTGATTCAAACTAGTTCATAGGTACAAGATTTTTTTTATATTTTATTTAAAATCAGTATACATGGATGGAATACATACATGATTTAAAACAGAACGTGAAAACTTTATATAAGAAACAAACTTTATAACTAAACAGAGAACTACCGGAACATCTTAACCAAAAATAATATATAACCAAAACCTGAACAGCCCCTTTATCATTTTATATATGAAATTTATATAAAAAAACAATTTCATATAAACTAATGCTTTGCACACACCATGGTACTATGATTATTAAAAAATTTTATAAAACAAAAACAAATATATAAACTAATACATTGTACCTCAATGGTACTAGGGTTTTAAAATAAAATAACTATCAGAAACCTACATGCCCTCCTTGAAATTGAAAAATGAAAGTTCTTTATTTTTGGTTTTGCAATATTGAAAAAGGAATCAAAACATACAAAAAACCTTTAATAATTAACATAGACTTTTTACCCGATCTAGCATGTATGATTACATATGAGGAAACACTAAGACTCCTAATACCCCGACCAAAACCCCCTATTTAAATTTCTCAAACTAATTATAAACCCACAAAAAGTATACCTTGCTTGTATACAGTGATATTAGTAAAAGGTGCTTAATTGAACATCAACTGACTATATGCAAACCCTAAATGATAAAAAAAAATACGTGTGATATCACTGGGTGAGGGGAAAAACATCCCACAAAAGCGCTGTCCAAGGAACTTGAATGGCCATAGATTACAATTAGGACATTATACATCCTCAAACCCCCCCCCCCCTCACAGCGGAACGCCTACTACATATACACAAACAATCCCCAGGCAAATGAAAAATTTTTGCCCCCTTTATCAAAAGTTTACAATCATCAAACCCAAAAAGGGCTGCTTATTTAACATCCCCTTAAAGGCCAGTAATAACGTTGTACTTTTAGCGGTGACATCAGCGTGGCTTCCGCTTACAAAAGACTAAACTAAACCTAAAAGGGAATTCCAGGAAAGACCCAACATACTTCACCAAACCCCGGCTATAGTCGGGACCAATTCAGTCTTGTTAGAGGCTGGAACATATACTGAAATATTGCTTTTTATCTGTATTATCAAAATGCATGACCATTTTTATGATTAATTCCAAGATCTCAGTGCCACACAACGCCACAACCTAACACACACAGACGCACGGAACCCCTTCATAAAACATACACGTCACTCCCTAAACCCCGCCCTCTAACCCTGAAGTCTCTAACATATAAAACCGTTGGTGCTACCACGGGGGGAGTCCAGCCCCCCGTTGCCTTACCCCACCCGCAGTTGCAGCAACATTTGAACAGTAAGACTTCGATACTTTGCAGGAAAACTATTATCCCAACTTCTACCATATATGAGTTTATTTCTGCAATACGTTCTGTAGATACCTGCCGCAATTGCCCTGATCCTAACTGATCCCCCGGTTTCCCGCATACCCCACGAGATATAGAGGAAATCAGCCACCACGTACATTATTGCTCTTCGTATCTCACTTGATACTCCGCTAACGTCCAATGTTAAGGCCCGTAAGGTTGAAATACTTTCCCCACTAAGAAAATCTAAAACCCGCCCCAACCACGAACGAACTTTGTCTAAGGTATCACAAAAGTAGACAGCATGAAAAGCTGTTTCTTCGAGACCGCAACGCAAGCAATCCGCCTCCCTTACCAAACCCATCCTATGTAAGACCGATTTTGATGCTGAAATCCCCACGACAAATCTGTACACCAATTCACGAACCCTTGGTGCCAACTTAAGTTTACAAAATCCTTCCCATATTTCCCTCCAATTATACAGCGGAAAAACAGACAATCCCTGTACAATTTCCCCACGACAACATATGCTGACCATTTGCCCCACCCGGATCGTTGCGCATTTCTCAACTTTAACAACAAACGCAGCATGTCCTCACACTCGATTGATTAATCCCCTGCCACTCTACCATTTACGCATTTCGATCATTACCCGACCCACCCGGATGCCCTTCTCACCGCCCGCCCTGAGGAACCGCTGCTTTACATAGAGAGCCTTCACCCGTGGCCCCAAAGCCAAGAGACCTAAACCCCCACGACGAACATGGGTCATGACAACCTCCCGACTTAACCAAGCTCTCCCGAAACCCCAAACATAACGTAAGACCCTTCTCTGCAGTTCCTGAATATCCATATCTCTTAAAGGGTACACCGCAGCCACACCCCATGCTTTACTATAAACAAGTGTATTAACCACTACTGTCCTCTGTTGCAACGAGACATCCCCAGCTCTTAACCCCCGAAGTCAATCTAAAGCCTTGTTAACCACCAATTCAAAGTTTACCCTTCGGCTCTCCCTCTCATCTGCCATGTACACGATACCACATATTCTAAGTTGCACCACGACTGACCACCCATAACCTTTCGCACCAACCTCCCCCCCACCCATGTACCCACCTCCAATAATTTCGATTTTGCCTTATTTGACGCACATGCCAGACTCTGCCCCAAAAAACTCAACAATCCATCCCACGACTGCAATCCTCCTCCCCTTTTAACAAAATTGTGGTATCATCTACGTACCCGACCACACGCGCTGCATGGTCACTGCTCAACGTTCCACGCCTCAAACCACCATCCACCAGCTCATAAAAGGGGTTTTGCATACAAGCAAAAAGCAGTTGGGAGTGGGGGCACCCTTGCCTCAAACCCCTTTCCATACGGACGGGCTGCCCCAATTTACCGTTTACCTGTACGCGTACCATAGCCGTGACATACAAGGTATCAACCCATCTTACAATCCCCTCTCCAAAACCCTGCTTCAATAAAATAAGCCTCAATAAATCCCTATCAACACAGTCATAAGCATTTTGCCAGTCAAGCCCGAGGACACCCCCCCCTTGACATTCCTCCAAAAACTCTAATACGTAATGTCCATCCCTCAGCTCCTACCTGGTAGCCAGCTTCCCTCGTGAATAACCGAACCCCAAACCCTTTCCCCATTCTGTTTCCTAAAACTTTTGCAAAGATTTTATAGTCGAGCCATAAATATATTGCTCTATATGCATCAGACCCCTCCCCCCCCCCCTTTTTGGGCACCAACACAACTACCCCCGTACTTTTTTGGGCATACCTAACCTCCCTCCGTGAGCATGCAATTTAATACATCAACCCAAAAAATGCTTAAACTTCCCCCAAAGCCCCTTAAAAAAACATTTGAAATGCATCTACACCTGGTCCTTTCCTTTTTCCATACTAAAAATCGCCTCCTCTACCTCCTCCACTCGAATTCTACCTTCTAGTACCGTTCTATCCCTGTCACTTATAACTTTTCTGAAATCCCTCCTCACCAGGCCACCCGCATGGACCCCCCCTACTCCCCTCCGTAGCTTTTCCCCAAACCATAGATCAGCATAA